GATTTCTCGCCTTGACGTAGGCTATTTAAACAGCTGTCGACTTAGTTATGACGACGGAAATGGTGATACAACAATAATGCGGCGATTACCAAAAACGAGGCCGATAAGCAATCCTGTAGGTTTGTATCATCCTTGTCTGCTCGCTGCATTCGATTGATTAGGCTCAATCTGGTTCAATTTAAGTGAACCAGACCGTGTTCGATTGTAGTTGAAACAGTTTACCCCCACCAACAAAAAAATAAAGTAGATCCACTCTGGATCATAAGAAGTGAACTAAAACCGATTCAATTTTAGATCGACTTATAAACTCTGTTCAAATTTTGATTATTTTGAATATTTGCTCTGTTTGAAAGTGCCGAGCAACTGAAACGCGGTGAGCGTATTTGAGAACGAGAATACCGGCTCTGGGCTGCATTCACGATAAGCTGGGTACGCATATGAGCATGAACGCGAATGAGGCAATCCTAGGCCGAACCATTTGCCTCGGATTCGGGAAGAAATAAATTTTTGGGTGACCTGAATAGTGGACGCACGAGGCGTTGTACGGAATCGATCCATAAATAGGTGGTGAGCATTCTTCTTGTTATTAATTTAAATTTTTAATCGCTTTCATCTCAAAACAACACGTGGACTGCCTCGACTTCGAAATGAATTTTTTAAAATTTCATTCCACACTGAGCACACATGAGCAGCGCACGAGCAGATGCCTCACTTTGATGTACCGCCTAGGGATGTTACGCTGGAACTGGACCTGTTCTTTTGGAATAGGTATGACCTGCCTGTTCCGTGTACCTATTACCAAATATTGGATCTACCTGTTCCAAGTTCGCAGAGCAGGCGCTGGCACGTCACGTGTTTGCTCTAAATCAAAGCTGTTTTCTCGCGTTCACTTTTTTGAAACAGGTTTGAAATAATATATTCTCGCGATGAACCCATGACGTCACATCAAAATTGGTTCAAACCGTTTCGAAATACAATTCAATCCACGTTTCAAAACCATTTTCTTGCGCCGAGAAATTATGACGTCATTGTGAAACTGTTTTAAACAAGTTTTGAAAAATGTTTCAAAACTTTGAGACGCCAGAAAACACCTCTAGTATATTAATTCAATGAAATAGTAGAATCTACTACACTGGATTGCCACTTGCCAGCATTCGAATTATCAATCGGTAGGTATTCGATTTAATAAAAGACACGTTTATTAACGTTCTAACCTCTAATAATAATGCTAGCCACCTGTCGGCGACAATCCGCGTGTCGCTAAATTCACCAAAATTCTGCACCGCCACGGATGCGGTGATTGAAATTCACTAATGCCAATGTGAAACCACAGCTTGTCAAACCCTGTTTAATTTAACAACACTGCTTGTTCTACCATTCTACCACGGTGCCTACACCAGCTGAATTTAGCCACACGCGGCATGTGAATCACTGAGTTTCACAGGAAATACTTTGGAGCTGGAACAGGTACTTGGAATAGGTTTGGGTTCGGAGCAGGCACAGGTCATACTAGGTACAAGAAAAGCTATTCCATAACATCTCTAGTACCGCCAACAAATGGATCGGGTCGAGGCCAAATGCATGCGGGTTCAAACAAATTTGCACGCCTCGTTCAGACGTACACATACATATGCTCATATGCGTCCTCGGGCTGCCTCATTCGCGTTCGAGCTCATATGCGTACCCAGTAGGGTTGCCACCTGTCCGGTTTTCACCCGGACTGTCCGGTTTTTTAAAGGTTTGTCCGGTGTCCGGACGCATGATGAAAATGTCCGGGAATATCTGGATAACTGTATAATTAATAATAATTAATACTAAATATAAAATTTATAAAGACGATTTCCGATCGCCTTAGGATATACCTAACTAATTTCTGAACGTATCTACTTCTTGAATGACGGGTGTGTCAACAAACGTTATCAGCGCAATTGATAAATAAAAAAAAAGTGGATTATGCGTGAAATTGTAACAAATTCGGAGAAAAAATGATATGCTTCACACGGCGAAAGATCAGATTTAATGCCTTGGCTGGTTTCCTAGCTTCGCCTTCGGCTATGGAACACCAGCCGCGGCATTAAATATTGTGCTTTTCTGCCTAATAAAACAAATAATTATGTATGTATTTAGTTGGGGAGCTGGCGTCAAAAACATGCAAGAGTTTTCGCAAGGCGGATATTTTCAAAATAGGTCGTACTTTAGTGTTAGAATGCTAGTGTACAGTCAGCACTCACAGTTCCGGGACAGCTGGCTCTGGGACGCGGGCAAAGTTGTAATTTTAAGAAGCATCTAAACTGTTTTCTCAAAGCTCAAAATTTATAGAAATTTTGCACATTATCTCTTTGAAGGTCACAGATAATGTATGTAAATCGTCAGACGTCTAGTTCGTTGCAAAAAGGGGGTCAGACGTCCTCAAAGTTTTTATTTTATGGCATTTTCTTCGGTGTCCTGTCAAAATATATTTTTGCAGGTATTTGACAAATATATTTGAAGAAAATGCCATAAAATAAAAACTTTGAGGACGTCTGACCCCCTTTTTGCAACGAACTAGACGTCTGACGATTTACATACGTTATCTGTGACCTTCAAACAGATAATGTGCAAAATTTCTATAAATTTTGAGCTTTGAGAAAACAGTTTAGATGCTTCTGGAAATTACAACTTTGCCCGCGTCCCAGAGCCAGCTGTCCCGGAACTGTGAGTGCTGACTGTACACTAGCATTCTAGCACTAAAGTACGACCTATTTTGAAAATATCCGCCTTGCGAAAACTCTTGCATGTTTTTGGCGACACCTCCTGGACTAATTGTGTCGTTCTCCCTGTTCACTTACAAGTGTCTCTATTATTTTATTTTTTTCAATTTTAAAATAGACGTAACTATAAGGGGTGCCGTCTAAAATTAGGTAGGTACCATTTTTAATTTTCGCCTAAAAATTCATTTTACAGATGAGTGTAAATTATGCCCCAAAAAAAAAGTTAGCTTCGATTATGTACGGGTTTTCGAAATTCAAAAGGTGGCAACCCTAGTACCCAGCTATAGACGTCCGAGCGCACCTCGGGCGCGCTCCAGCGTATGGACAGAAAGTTCTCGTGCCTCAGATGCTACGCTATTACGGTACCGCTAACAATACGGTATTTTAAATGCTTTTTTATAGTTCTCGGACACGAAGACACAAAAATCCTCTAATCCCTTATTCTGTTTACATTTTGACAGCTAAATTAAGTGATCCAACCCAACTTTTTTTTTGCTTGTTCGCCAGCTTTCATTTATCGTGAAGATTCCTGAAGTTTCATTAATTTTCTCTTGGTGTTTTTATGGAGGAATTATTAGAAGTTGCTGTTCTAATTACCGTTAGGTAGCGGGCTCCGCTAAAGCCTAGTACTCATAACAGCGAAATTCACTCTTTTTCGACATTGCTTCAACAATTTGACGTTTTATGCGTGAATCAAACGTCAAATTGTCGAAGCAATGTCACAAAAGAGTGAATTTCGCGGTTATGAGAGATAACATGCGCGCGCAACTCATGGCTGCAGTGTAGCCTCTGGTGCTCAATTTTTGACTTTCTTCGTTAAATTCAGAACGCGCTTTCTAGCGAACGGTGCAATAACGAAGGCTAAGGGCGAATTCTCATGGGCGTAAGTTGACATTTCTGGCGTAATCACGTGATAAAATGGTTGGGATTTATTGGAAAAATATTTGACATGTTGGTGATTTTACCAATCAAATTACACCATATTATCACGTGATTACGCCAGAAATGTCAACTTACGCTCATGAGAATTCGCCCTAAATCCAAATTTAAGCGATTGAGGCCAGTGACGTTGTTACGCAAGGATAATACACACTACTACTACAGTATAGCCTATCCTCATAAAACCTGTGTGGAACAAATCCCCTCCCCCCACCAAGCCAAATCACCAGTTGTGACGTAAGCAGTATGTCCTTTCGCGTCTGGACGTAGGCTGTTTGCACCACAGGTCAGGATTCCGCAGGCTTTGTGTTCGAAATCACCCTGGGCGTCACACCGAGTGCACACCAGCTGTGAATTATGCATGACTGGTGTGCACTCGGTGTGACGCCCAGGGTGATTTCGAACGCACTCCAAGACAACGCTGTTGAAATCGGAACGACAAATGACAGTACAATCAGGACAGTAAATCCACTGGCAGTTGATATCGGAACGTTTCCGAATCAATATTCAAATGCATCAATCAATGGCATCAATGGCTATTACTGTATTCCTTTTATACATCGAGTTAGACCGAACGAGTTCCTCGGAGTCACTCCAAAACACAGAATTCAGATTTTATAATTATTTTTTAATATTAACATTACCGTCATTACCTAAAAAGGCTTCTTGCATCCCCCGCAAATTTGGTGCATTAGGGGAAAGGGGGTTGCACTATGAGCGACTCGAGTGCTTAACGCACTTTTAAAAGGAAAGTTCAAACTTTTGACATAGAACAGCTCCGACTAGCTCACCGGGTGAAAGGAATACACCTTGCGTTCGGTATTTTGCTCAAAGTGTAGAGCGAGCTGAGCGGAGCCGTAATCACGTGACCAGCGAGCGAACGGAGCAGTTGAACGCTGTATAAAAGTACCGGAAATTTTAATAAACGAACGCGAATGAGGCTGCACCGAGTACACTTTTTAAATAAACGAACGGTAAAGTCAAGCTCGGAGAACTCAGACCAAAATAACGAACGCACGGACAGTAATTGAGATAGTTTCAAATGCAAACTTCAGACAACCTATAACCCTTTTCACGTGGCTCCGGTTTAACAAACCGCAACATACCGCTCAATTTCGAGTGGTAGGTAAAATGTGTTTTTTTTTTTTAAGATAAAAGTCAAAATGACCTTATGTTGGCAAACGGTATGACATCGGTATGACATTTCTCTAACGGTATGACATTTCTCTAACGGTATGACATTTCTCTAACCGTTTTGTAACCCGTTAGTTGAACCGGAGCCACGTGAAAAGAACTTATGTGTCAACTGTCAAATAGAGTAAAAAGAGGTTGTGTTGTGTTGTGGTTGTGATTTTTGTGAAATTAGAAATTACGTTCTTTCAAAAATAAGCTATGGTAAACTTATAATTGAGAGAAACAACGAAATCGCGATTATGGCCGCGTGTGTTATTGAAATCCCTCTCCGGGATACGGACGAGGTAAAGCTGTTTATATCTTTAGTGATTTTCTTCATAACTCAATTGCAACCTTTTAGGTGATTGAGCTTTACCCGGACCAGCTACCACAAGCGGAAGATGTTCTTGGCATTTTGCGCCAAGAAAATACCCAGTTGTCCATTTGGGTTAATCTTGCAGTAAGTACAAATTTCAGTGGCTAAATTCCTTCGAGCAGGTATAGCGTATAGCGCTGTCCTATGGACATAAGGAGTAGGAAAGCGTCATTCTGCTTATGAAACTAAAGTGAAGAAATCGTCTTCATTTTCCAACTCCGCTACAATAATCATTGCTACTATTTCATCATAAACCATATGGCTTATGAGGAATTGGTTCAAATGTTGTGTGTGATTCTGATTTCAGGCGATATGTATGTCTGTGAGCTCAGTATAAGTAGAGCAGAGGACCCGATATAGATCCCTGCGGAACCCCACACACGCTTGTCATCATATCATCGTGACTTATACGAAACTTATACTGATAGTTATCTATTCCCAATGTTTTAATTAACATTACCATAGAACATTACCCTTCGTCTTCCCACGTCAAAAAAAATTATGTAGATTCCCATGTGGAGTACATTTGCACCCCATGATAAAAATGATACTTCTGATAATTAAACATGATTTTATTTAAACTTAACATTTAGGTATAATAGATTAAATCAACCTATATAGAGTACAGTTAGGAAATGGTATTTTTGACCAATGCATGCCATCTTTCGATTTTTAAATCATTTTTCTGTCTTCTACTTCCCGTAAACTTTCGTTCTCTTCCTGCTCCACAGATACTTCTTGATTAGCTTTATTATCGTGATTTCTAAATTTTGCAGGTTGGAAATCTATTTTCAACCTGCAAATTTCCTGCAAAGTGACTACTTGATAGAGTAGCCACAGATTCCCACGTGGGATACGTCATTGGGTATATGCTCGGGTATATGTGCCCCACGCTGTGCAAAAATTATTATTACTAAAAAATAAATAAATAGAAAATTTTTGATGATCACTAATTATGTGCAAAGCCCTTACTGACAGAAAATTAAATTAGTCACAAAAAAACATGCACTTTTTGGGAAAATGTGCTAGAGAAATTGTTTTCTGGGGTACATTTGTAGCCTACCCGGGAAGACGAGGGTTAAAAAGTTACCCTAAACACTTTAGGAACCCAATTTATCTAGAACTATATCAATCACAATTAAATTTTAAAAATAAGAAAAAATTAAATTTTATTTATTTCTATTTATTTTAAGTTTTATTTACTTTTTATTTTTTATTTTAAATTCTTTGTGTGTGTAACAACTGTAAACGTTTTTAGGTATGTATTTTAATCAACAACTAAGTGTAATCAGTGTGTATAATTTTAATTGTGATGTATTTTTATTTTTTCATCCTTACCATGCCAAACGATGTTCCTATTTTGTTTTGTTGTTCCTTTGAAGATGTTTGGATGGTAGTTTTGTTGTTTTCGGTTTCATCTGTATAACTCTATATATCCCTACCTCGTTTAATGTTATGCTATTTTTATTTTGAAAGTTTAGGTTTAGGAATTACTGGCTTTGTCAATGGATTTATTTTTTTACGACAATAAAGCATATTTTGATTAGGAACCGCATCAAATGCCTTTCTCAAATCTACCAATATGGTAACTACTGGTTTTTGGTCGAGGCCCTTCGCAAATCCCAGCACAATTAACAAACTCAAATGTGCAATGTAGCAAATAGAGTAGGTATAAGTAACAGGTAAAAGCACCAATAATTGACACAATTAGACTCTCTTATGGAATTTAAATGTATCTTTGGGGACCCAGTAATTGACACCTGTTATCCAATTATTGACACCCCAGTTATTGACACAAAAACATTTTTTTTTTCTTAGTACATGAGTTTATAGAACTAACTATGGGTTAAATAGTCCTATGTCCAGAATATGTGGGCTGGCAAATTTAAAGTGTGGTAGTGCTGATCTTTTCTGTACTGATCTTGCTTGTTTCAAGAAACTTATCAAGTTAATTCTTCAAATTGTATTAAATTACTGGAAAGGCTGGTTGAATCTATTAATTATCTTATTCTATTTTTTGTAGTTGTATTTTAGTTATTGTAATTTTAGTGCATTAAATGTAATTTATGATAGATTGTAAAAGCTAAATTGCAAGTCCGTTAATAAACAAATTAAAATTAAAAATTAAATTAAAATTAAATTTATAAAATGCGAAATAATAAGCCACAGCTACTAGAACTTCATTCATCTGCTCTTTGGAGTACTTTTTTCTGATGTTGTATCAGTAATAAATGAAATTCCAGTAATTGACACCCGTGTATAGTTTGGCAAGTGGTAACTTGGTAGAGACGAAAGGGGGAAGAAAAGTAGGGCATAACCTAAGAATATTCAATGACACCTCAACTGACACCGCCTGATGACAACCATGTCTTTGGGTTCAGTGGCACCGAAAACACCAAGGAAATAAACCAAAAAATTATTAGGAAAAAATTCTTGAGTTTCACGAATAACCACGCCACTGGTGCTGTCGTTCAGGCTGTAACCAATAGAATCATGCCTCTGAATAATCACGGCTCTCCGCTTCCTTCATTTCGTAATGTTGCCGGATTTTTTCCTATTTCAAAATACTGCACGGCCCATATTGCAAAAAAAAATATGTCACCAACTTGTTTATTATTGTTTCTGTCAAGTTTGGCATAGCAGCAAATTCTTTTTGAGTTCGCCGTTTGGCTAGCCAGACTATACCAATAACTGACATCCATCTCAATAACTGGAACTAGTGATTTTTTTAAAGTCATATTAAGATGTGAGCACAGTACAATGTGAGCATCTATGCTATGATTGCGTTAAAGGACCCCGCACATTTCTTATGGAAAAGTGATCTATGTGGAATTTTGCTGAATTTTTGATATTGTTTATAGGGAGTCGTCCTTAACAAAAGTGATCATTGCGCTAATGTTAAATACCCAACAGTTTTCAAGATATCAATTAAAAACTTTTTTAATTTGATACTCTTCAGTATGACGTCACCAGTATGCTCACAGCACCGAAAATTAAAACTATCCTTTTCATTTTTAACTTTGACTACCTATACTTATACTCTTCTCCTTTTAACATTTAGGAAATAAAAAAAGACAACAACAGGTACAAATGAAATCGCTATATGACCAACATCATGATATGAAGTTGACGATTGCGGCAGGAGCTAGGTGTTGTTTGCATACCTACCTATTTGTCACTAATCGCTATCGCTATCTTTTCTTTTTCTTAATGTTAAAAGGAGAAGAGTAAAGTCAAAGTCAAAAGTGGAAAGGATAGTAATAATTTTCCTTGCTGTGAGTGACGTCATACTGAAGAGTATTATTAAAAAAGTTTTTAATTGATATCTTGAAAACTGTTGGGTATTGAACATTAGCGCAATGATCACTTTTGTTAAGGACGACTCCCTATACACAATATCAAAAATTCAGCAAAATTCCACATAGATCACTTTTCCATAAGAAATGTGCGGGGTCCTTTGTTACGAGATCCATTCATTGACACATTAGTCAATAATTGGTACATGGTCATAATCACTTGATCCAGTCCTTGACACCCACGTCAATCTTAGATAACGTGTTTTATTAATAAATACACATTAAAAAAACATGCAATCATACTTAAACTCTGCCCTCAAACATATGGAATAAATTAAACATTTAGGAATAAAAAAGAATATTTAATTTGTTTTCCTTAACAAATCTTTTAACATTTCTCATCGGACAGGTAACTAGCCTTTTCACATTTTAAAATAACTTGCAGATATCAGCTAATTTCTTTCATAGCTGGTAGAGTGTTGCCAAATATCACATTATTGAAATTTTTTCATTGAGAATGGCTCTGGGACATCGAGTTAGCTTGTTAACAGTTACCTTTAAGGGTCAATTACTGGAGCACTGTCAATCACTGGTGCATTTACCTTACCTTTGATGGGGCCTATACTGAAACCTATCAATGGCAATCCCCACAATAACATAAAGAAAACGCATATTTCTTCAGATAATAGTTTTCAGGGGTAATCGAGGGGGTAATAGTACAAGTGCATCAAAAGTACCAATAATTTTGGATGAACGTGGGCTTTTCAAGAAAACACGCCTGAACTCGAAATTATCTGGTTGTTTTAGAGCAAGAATTAGGGAAATAGGTATTTCCCAAAATTAGACCTGCCAGGCACTTATCGGTACCTGCCTCTGAATAATTTTCGAAAATATACCTAAAGTGTGTGTTTTTTTTTTAAAGATAATTCCCCAAGTCAAAAATTTAGTAACTATATTGGCAACACAAGCCTTTTCTACATAAAAAATTTGAAAGCTTGACAATTTTACATTGTATTGCCAACATAATGTCATTTTGACTTTTATCTTTAAAAAAAAAAACAGACTTTAACAACTGCAATTTGCCTGTAATTATTCATAAGATCCACCCTTCCTGATTTGACACCTTTACCAGGTGCAGTAGCCTTTTTATTGGCATCCAGCTGTTGGTTCACAAAACACAATGCTTCTGAAGGGTAAATACTGACTGGAACAGAAAACTAAGACACGATTTTTAGGATGCTTGATCAAGATACTTTCTAAATCGGAGAAGAAATCGATATTCTTTCGCCTACAATCATCCAAACTTATACACAGCAAATATATTTCCTGTTTTTTTCTCTTTGCGATATTCCAAATTTCAATGACTTTTCAAAATTTTCAATAAATAGAGATACTCCTCCACCCCCATTCTACCCCTTTTTTCCTACAGTAATGTGCTGAATTATATCTGTGTATTTTTCATTGGTTCAGAGTCATTTGAGAAATAGGTATTGCCTTGAGTATCGCATTTTGGGCCTTGTATTTTTATCAAGACTGTCTACCAAGCTGTCTACAATCAAAAACCCAGCAACAACCCTAACAAATTCTAGGGGACATTTTTTTTGTTTTGCAAATGGTTTCTTTTTTTCTCCCTGGAAAAAGTTAGTCAAGCTGTCCACCATCTGAAAACTGACTCAGATCCTGGAAGCAATATGCGATTTTCTTACACAAATGTGTTGAATGATCCATGATGATATGGATGCATGCGGTTGTGACGCCACTGTTCAAAAGACAGGAGCAAATGTAATCCAGAAAACTAAAGGCCCATGTACCAATATCTGTAAAGTAATAGAGAATCGCTGTTTTCTATTTGATCCCTCCATCACAGCAGGGTTTTCATCACAGGGATCGGTGAACTGTTGCCATTTTTAAATCAGTCGACAACATAGCATGATAATGGTGAACTTATGCCTGGTTCATGGAAAAGCATCTAATAAAGTACAGCATAAGAGCCTACTTTCAAAATTGGAACACTTGGGAGTTAGGGGAAATTCACTCAGTTTGATTCAGATAACTTTTCAACGGATATGCAGTTTTCCATCAGAGTTATTGGTCAAGTGTCAAAATATCATCCTATTATCCGTTGAGTACCACAGGGGACCACTGCTATTCATCCTTTACACTAGTGACTTGGTTGGTGCAATAAACTCATCTGTAGAATACTTGCAGATGATGCACTAAGTGATTCAAGTGGTATTCAACTTTTATTTATCAACTACAAACAATCAACCAAATTCGATTTGTGAGGACACCCCTTTACTCAATAATTTTTGTTGATCAGCTTTAATCAGTCGTGCCTAGAGGATGTTGAACTTTTCCTGACAGTTTTATGAGACCTATTATCTTGATAACTATGTTCTCGTTTTCAGTTGGAATACTATAAACAGAACCAAATTGATAACTTCCTTAAGATTTTGGAAGCTTCACGCACCGATGCTAGTACAGATTACAGGGACTATGAAAAAGATCAGATGCGAGCTCTTGACATGCTTGCTGCATATTATGTGCAGGAAGCCAACAGAGAAAAAAATAAGGATAAGAAAAGAGAACTTTTTACCAAAGCAACATTACTTTATACTACTGCTGATAAAATTATTATGTATGACCAGGTATGAGATTGTCCAGCATAAAATTTTCATTACTGAAATGAATATAATTTGATTTTAGAATCACTTACTTGGTAAAGCCTATTTTTGCCTACTCGAAGGCGACAAAATGGAACAGGCAGATGCTCAATTCAATTTTGTACTTAATCAAGTCCCAAACAATATCCCATCATTGCTTGGTAAAGCTTGCATAGCATACAATAAAAAAGACTATAGAGGAGCTTTAGCTTTTTATAAAAAAGCCTTAAGGACAAATCCCAGTTGTCCAGCCGCTGTTAGACTAGGTAAGTAACTTTTCATTAAATAACTAGAAAAATTAATTATTCATTTCCTAGGTATGGGTCATTGTTTTATGAAATTAGGCCAGCAAGAAAAGGCACGTTCAGCATTTGCAAGAGCTTTAGACTTAGACCCAAAATGTGTTGGTGCTTTAGTTGGTCTTGCAATTCTAAAACTTAACCAACAAATTCCAGAAACAATCAAAAGTGGAGTACAAATGTTATCGAAAGCTTACACAATTGACTCCTCAAATCCTATGGTTCTAAATCATCTAGCGAACCATTTTTTCTTCAAAAAAGACTACTGCAAAGTGACCCATTTAGCTTTGCACGCCTTTCACAACACAGAGAATGAAGCCATGAGAGCTGAGAGCTGTTACCAACTAGCCAGAGCGTTTCACGTTCAAGCTGATCACGATCAGGCTTTTCAATATTACTATCAAGCTACACAATTTGCACCAGTGGCTTTTGTTTTGCCACATTTTGGCTTGGGTCAAATGTATATCTATAGAGGCGATACAGAAAATGCTGCACAATGTTTCGAAAAGGTTCTCAAGGTGCAACCTGGTAATTATGAAACTATGAAGATTTTGGGTTCATTGTATGCCAATTCAAATTCTCAATCTAAAAGGGATATTGCCAAAAGTCATTTAAAGAAAGTTACTGAACAATTTCCTGGTGATATTGAGGCATGGATTGAGTTGGCTCAAATTTTGGAACAATCAGACTCGCAAGGGTCTCTGAGCGCCTATGGAACTGCCATAAATATTTTAAAGAAGGATGTGCAAGCTGAAATTCCAACTGAAATTTTAAACAATGTTGCAGCTTTACATTACAGGTAAGGATTCGTAAAATTATTTTTTTTATGTAAGCTTGATATCTGGTATTTTTTAGAACTGGAAATTTAGAAGAAGCCAAGAAAACATTAGAGGAAGCACTGGAAAGAGCCAAGCATGAAGTCCAACACGATCCTCAATATTACAACAGTATTTCTGTTACCATAAAATACAATTTGGCACGACTTAATGAAGCATTATGTTCGTTTGATAAATCGGAAAAGCTTTATAAAGATATTTTGAAGGAACATCCTAATTATGTTGATTGTTATTTGAGGTAATTGGCAGGTTGTCGTTTATATGTGAGGTCATTGGCTTATTTTATTTTATACAATCATCAAGACTATATTCAAAAATCTTTCCACATGCTAATATTACTTACCTATATAGGTTAGGTTGCATGGCAAGAGACAAAGGCCATATATATGAAGCATCAAATTGGTTCAAAGAAGCCCTAAGTATCAATTCTGATCATCCTGATGCCTGGTCTTTGCTGGGAAATCTTCATTTGGCCAAGGCCGAATGGGGACCAGGGCAGAAAAAATTCGAGAGAATCTTAAAAGTGAGAAAACTTCTATCCATATGTTCACAACATTTAATTTCCTCTTTTTTTAGAATCCTTCTACATCCCAAGATTCCTATTCATTAATAGCTTTAGGCAATGTCTGGTTGCAAACTCTTCACCAACCTTCACGAGATAAAGAAAGCGAAAAGCGACATCAAACTAGGGCGTTGTCAATGTACAAGCAAGTTTTTAAAGTAGATCCGAGAAACATTTGGGCTGCTAATGGAATTGGGGCTGTGCTTGGTAAGTTTTTGAATGCTAAAAACCAACTGTGATGCAATATATCCCAAATTCTAGCTCATAAAGGTGCAGTCAACGAGGCCAGAGATATATTTGCACAAGTACGAGAAGCCACTGCTGATTTTTCTGATGTCTGGTTGAATATTGCTCATGTTTATGTTGAACAAAAGCAATTTGTCAGTGCAATTCAAATGGTTAGTTAGTTAATACTGTTTCAAAGTTTCATTTTAAAGTTTGTCATCTTTTTAGTATGAAAATTGCTTGAGAAAATTCTTCAAATACAATAACGTAGAGGTTTTGCAATATTTAGCAAGAGCTTATTTCAAAGCAAATAAGTTGAAAGAGGCAAAAATGGTACTGCTAAAAGCCAGGAGAGTTGCACCACAGGATACCCTTTTGCTTTATAATATCGCTCTAGTTTTACAAAGGTTAGCGATGCAAATATTGAAGGACGAAAAATCGACTTTGCAGATTGTTTTGCAAGCAGTACATGAACTAGGATTATCTTTGAAGTAAGCTTAAAATAACCATTTATGTTAACAAAAATATATATATTTTTTACTAGGTATTTCATGTATCTTGTCGAATGCGATGATAAGACAAAGTATGACGTTAACGTGGCAAAATCGGAAGCACAACAATGCAAAGATTTATTGTCTCAAGCTCAATACCATGTTGCTAGAGCAAGAAGAGTGGATGAAGAAGACAGGATGCTAAGGAGAAAGCAAGATGAAGAACGTACCGCTTTCAAGATGAAGCAGATGGAAGAACAGGTTAGTCAAATGATTCATCTATATTTTGCATTATGTTTGTAAAGGTATTTTTTTTAAATTTGGAATGGCTAGAACTTATTGAAATTTTAGAGGGTCTAGTCTAAAATGATATAAAAGATAATTTTATTATTGGTATAAATCGCATACTTGAAACAACTAGATAAACATGTTTGAGTTGAGGAATGTCTTTTGTTATGCATTGGGATTTTTTTATTTTAGCAAAAACAAGAAGAAGAAAGACGACTCACAAAGGAACAAATGTTACAAAAACGTCAGGAGTACAAGGAAAAAACAAAGAATGCTCTACTCTTCCAGGAAATGCCTTCAGAAAAAAAATCGAAAGGAGGCAGAGGTAGAAGGTAAACAATAATTCAAATCATCACAAAGTGCTTTTTCATTGATTTGAATGTTTTCAGAGATGTCTATGTGTCTGATTCGGGTAGTGATAATGGCAATAATGCGGGACCACCTCGCGAGAAAAAAGAAAGTGCACGTAAAAAAAGCGGCGAAGGAAGAAAACGAGGCAGAAAAAGCCAAAGAGGTAGAGGTCACAATTCTGACAGCAGCGGAGGTGACAGGCCCAAAGGCAAGAAGAGCCGCAAAGAGAAGAAACCCAACAAAGATGACGGTCTTAGTGCCAAACAAAAGAGCAGAATTAGATCTAAGGCTACAATCTCTACTAGTGAAGATGACAGTGATAATGGTAAGAATTAGGATTTATTTTTTCTTTCTTTAGTATTATCTTTTTGTTTTATAGAGAAACGCCCAAGACCAAGCAGTGACGAAAGCGATTCTGCAAAACGTGAACCAAAGAAACGACGCATTTCTTCTGGTTCAGAATCTGACAGATCAAGAAGTCGATCGCGAAGCAAATCAAGATCCCGATCGCGAAGCAAATCAAGATCTATATCCAGGGGAGGATCAAGATCTAGAAGCGGCTCAAGGTCCAAGAGCCGATCAAGATCTAAGAGTAGGTCAAGATCCAGATCTAAAAGCGGATCCAGATCCAAAAGTGGATCTAAATCAAAGAGCAGATCTAGGTCCGGATCCAAAAGTGGATCTAGATCAAGGAGTAGATCAAAAAGTGCTTCCAGAGAGAGGTAAAATTTGTTACAATTGTTACAAACAGAATATTAATGGGAATATTGTAGGTCCAGATCAATATCCAGGAGCCATTCAAGGTCGAGAAGTCCCTCTCGCAGTAAATCAAGATCTAAAAGCCATAGTAGATCCAAATCAAGATCTAAAAGCCGTAATAGATCCAAATCCAGATCAAAATCTGCGTCCAGATCAAGATCTAGATCAAAATCTAAGTCCAGATCGAGATCGGGATCTAAAAGTGACTAGGTACCTACACCATAATAATTCGTTTCTCCTTTTATTTTTATGACTTCAGAATGGGACATTTGGTTTTTTATCCCATTTTTCATTGAAACTGATTATTACTTAGGGTGGGTATTCTTAATAACAGTATAACTTCAAGTTGACTGGAAAAAAAAACACATTTATATAACATGGTTTTTTTAATTTTTAATTGAGTTATCATAAAATGTAAATAATAATAAATAGTAGGGTAGTAAGTAACATATTTTGCGTTTTATTTTGAAAATACAAAAAGTAGAAAATGTGTTTCGTTGTACATTATATAGAGTCCCCTAAAAGTATATATGAATTAAGAGTATATTATACTTAATTATATTATTGGTTATTTTCCGTAATACATTCAATAAATAGTTTATAATTACCAATTATTGAGTTGAGAGAACCTGTACAAAGTTCTTCTATATTTAAATTGCAGATGTATTATATATTTGCAGATTGGATTAAATGCTAGTAAAATTAGTACCTATTAAAATTCGGATAATATTGATAACAAAATGTATAAAGGATGACATTTACAAACACAAAAGCTTATCCTAAATAGTTAACGATGAATGCTAGCAACCTCTGGAAATTACAGCTTTGGTAAATAAGAAAACTTTAACTGTTGTCACTTAGTTTGCTTCCAAATGTTGAGCAAATCTATTTGCATACAGTAAATTTCTCAAAAATAGTTTCTGAAATGCTCCTCAATTTCTTAACTAGTTTTGGTGGCAATCTTGGGTTAGTTAGAGTGGTAATTGCAATTAGTGTTACAAAGGGTAATACATTTCAGATTTTTGGCTTTGATGTTACTTGAGTGACATTGTTTATTTAAGAAATTTGCTGATTTGAGCAATTTAATCAATTCAGGCGCAGCAAGATATTTATTATCTATGCCTAAAAGTGATTTACTATTGGTAAGATCTATTAAAGTAAAAAATTGAGTTTAAGACAAAATTTCTTATATTGTATTAGATAGGCATTATTTTTGACACCTTTGGTATGTATAATTTATTCCTACAACAAACAGTTATTGTAGCTAATAAATTTGTTCTTACATTTTTGAGACACCCTGTATGAATTCAAACCGAATTTTGTACAAACAGGGATTACACTATACAGGGTGTCCCACAATCAACGTTACAGGCCATAACTTTCTTATTTTCAAAAATAAAAATTTGAAACAAAAAAAATTATTAATGGCGAATTAAGCTCTCTTCAAAAATATTAAAAAATCATCCCTTGAAAAAATCATCCCCCATTTACAGCCCTTGACTTTTTTTTTTTTTTTCAAATGGCACCCCTATTATTTTTTTTTATTTTTGAGAAGCTTATGAAATTACAAATTTGTATGGTGTATAATAAGTTTGTTTTTCCATGTCTCTTGGGGGAAAAAAATGGGTGTTCCACCCTTAGTCTTATACAGGCAATCACATTTTTGTCTACAAAAATAAGAATATGACAAAAAAAAAATTAATTGTGTGCAAATTAACCCCTTTTCAAGAATATTAAAAAAATCTTCCCTAACAAAATCATCCCCTTAAAACAACTCTTGCCTTTTTTTTCAAATAGAACCCCATTATTATTATTTTCATTTTTGATTTTTTTTTCCAACGAAACATGGAAAAACAAACTTTTCATGCATACATCATTGAATTTGCAATTTCATGAACTTCTCAAAAATAAAAAAAAAATTAGGGGTGCCATTTGAAAAAAAAAAAGTGAAGGGTTGTAAATAGGGGATGATTTTGTCAGGGGAAGATTTTTTTATATTTTTGAAGAGAGCTTAATTAACCATTAGTCTTTTTTTTTTTCAAATTTTTATTTCTAAAAATAAGAAAGTTAAGGCCTGTAACGCTGATTGTGGGACACCCTGTATAGGGCGATCATTAAAGTGTTCAATAATGTGTTGTAAAATAGTTGAAAATTTAAATCACTTTATTGAACATAACGTTTCCTCAAAAAAAATCCAAAGTGATATAACAAGGTAATTTACGATTAAAGTTCCTATGGAGCATTTCTTGAGAACGGAAAATACAGAGCGTTGACGTTTTTTAAATAATAAATGCTTGTTGGAATATTTCGGTACACCTATTCTTGGGAAATTCAAGCATTATTATTAATATATTATTATTATTGTTGTTAACAGCAGTAAGCGGTTTAAAGAAAAACTAATGAGACTGCCGTATTTGTTTAGACAGCTATTGCATTCTTAGTTCTGATTGTATGGTCTATAGACAGTAGTGCACAAAGGAGGTTGTGGCCCAACTTGTCATTTCCTGGTCGAGGCGATTTTTAAACTGATTTTTGGAGGTAGAGTTTATGGTGTCAGCGCTCAGGCGGTTCCAATTGTAGACAACTCTATTGTTAAGGAAATTCCTCCTCGTGAGCTTATTGTATCTTTCTTTAGAAAGCTTTTGATCGTGTCCTCTCAGATTTATGTTGTGGTTTAGGTGGAAGATGTCTCTCAGGTTACAGGCATAGTGACCGTTGAGTATTTTATGTGTTTCAATGAGATCACCTCTGATTCTCCTGTCTCTTAAAGTTGTGAGGTTCAATCTCAGGAGCCGTTCCTCATAGGACAGATTTTTAAGTTCCTGCGGTAATCTGGTTATTCTTCTTTGAACTCTCTCTATCTATGTCTTTAATGTAGTATGGATTCCAGATCGTTTGGGCATATTCAAGTTTTGGTCTTACATACGACTTGTAAAGTTTCAAGATCATTTCCTTTGATAAGTCTTTAAAGGCTGTCTGAATAAGGTAGATCATTGAATTAGCCTTTTTGGACATTTGTGTGATATGTGTATCCCATTTCAGGTCATATGTTAAAGTGACTCCTAAGTCTCGGTTCGGGTGTTATTTCCATTTGTTCAAAGAAATAGTTGAAATTGGGATTGTTTTGACGAATATGAAGGACAGTGCATTTGTAATCATTCAGAGGCATCCCCCACTTATGTGTCCAAGCTTTAATCTTGTTAAGGTCCATTTGTATTTCAACCTGATGTAGCAGCGGATTTGTGTATAGGTTTCCATCATCAGCAAATGTCGCATTATTCGTGTGAAGCCCTTGATAGAGATCACTTATGTAAGTTATAAACAGCAGCGGGCCAAGGACTGACCCCTGAGGAACACCGCTGTATACTTTGTGCTCCTTTGAAAGTGAGGAATCCACACGTACTTGGAAGGTACGTACAGTGAGAAAGCCTTCCAACAACCTCAGAAGTTTACCTCTAACTCCAAAATGTTCCAATTTATAAAGTAAAAATTCTGTTGGCACCTTGTCGAATGCTTTTTCAAAATCAAGGTAAATTACATCAATTGGTTCATGGTTATCATCAGCCAGGGTCCACTCATTTAGTCTGGTTAGCAGATTTGTTAATGTTGATTTTCCTGGGAGAAAGCCATGTTGTTCAGCAGGTAAAACATTTTCAAGCAGAAAATCAGTGAGTTCTTTGGCTACTATTTTTTCCATGCATTTACATAGTGCACTTGTTGGACTGATTGGTCTATAATTTTCTGCATGCTGTTTGTTTCCCTTCTTGTATTAGTACCACAGCCCTCTTCCAGGCTAAAGGGAAATCTCCTGTGCTCATTATGGTGTTAAGCAAATGAGACAAAGGCTCTTTCAGCACCTGTACACAGTTCTTGAGAAAAACTGGTGTGATCTCATCAGGTCCTGGACTAGAGTTTGGTTTTAGCGATGTGGTGTGATTGCGGTTTCTACTTTTTTTGCTGTGAATATGATGTTGGTAATTTCAGTCCAGGGCCCGGACTCCGAACCCTCGATTCGATAGTATCGTCAATATAAAATAGATAGACGATACTATCGAATCGTGGGTTCGGAATCTGGGCCCTGGAGTAGGTTTCCAAGGGAAGTGTGGGTTTATTTGTGTTCTGATCCAGTAATGTGTATACGCTTTCAAAGTGCTCTGCAAAGTATTCTGCAATTTCTTGGTTTGTCTCAAATGGTTGTTGGGTTGCCCTATCAACTATGTTAAAGTTTTTATGCTTGGACTTGAGGGTACGAGTTATGTATGCATATAATTGTTTGTCGTTTGTCAGTAGATTATGTTCATAAGTTTTTCTTGCCCTCACCATGCACGCTTTAGTTTTGTTGTTGATACCTCTGATAGTTATCTTCAGTTTTGGATATTTTATATTTATGCCACACATTTCTTTTTAGCTGGATCTCTTTAAATACTTCTTTAGTCAGCCACGGTTTTTGCTTGTTAATTTTTTGAGGTCTTATTGGTATGTTTATGTTGATTGATTTGTTTATTGCTTCGTAGAAGGTGTCAATATTTGTTTGATTTGCTACCTTATGTAACTCCTGCTGGAGTGAGTTGTTGACAGCATCATAGTAGCCAGAAGTCTCTTGTAAACCTTGTGAGTTGGCTGAGTTATAACTTGAAATTGCGTTGTGGCTGTAAATACTACATGGTCACTTTTTCCCAGCGGTGCATGTTGGTGAATATCGAAAATTAGTTTCTTCTCATTAGTTATAAGTAAGTCTAGAAGTGATTGCTAGGCATTTCTAATTCTTGTTGGGAAATTAACATGTTGGTGTCCTCTGTGGTTTTTGTAACTCTCCAGGAAGTCATAACTGCACTGGTTGTGTGGATGAATTACTAGTTTGTCCCAGGTGATTTCAGGGTAATTGAAGTCTCTCATGATAAAAACAGGCTCTTTTAATGTTATAGCACTTTCAATAGCTCGTTTCAGTCCTAAGTTAAGCTTTACGGTTGTTTTTTGCTTTTGTCTATACAGGGTGATTCAAAAGTAAGCGGCATCCTTTCGGGGGCGTATTCCTTGCATAAAAATAAGACAAAAAGTTCCTATTAACATAGGTCCGGAAATGCTTCCTAAGGGAGCTACGCCCCTTCGAATAACATCTGAAAGACGTATTTTTCTCTATAACTTTGAAACCCTTTACAATTGGATTTTGAAAATTGGTGTATTTTATAAACATTTGATGGCAATTAAGATACTAAATTGAAAATTCAAAAATTTTAATCAGTGGCGTCACATACTGGGGAGGGTGAGGGTTAAAACATCCCTATTTTTTTACTCGTCAGGTTTTTGCGATTCTGATCAAAAATTCAGAAAGTTTACAGCTTTTTACACAGAAAAGGTACTCTTGGTTCAATTTGATACAGCGTACCGTTTACGAGAAAATTGACTTTGAAAATTTTCTGATTTGCGTATGTTTCGCAAAAACCTGACGAGTAAAAAAAAATAGGGATGTTTTCACCCTCTCCAGTATGTGACACTGATTAAGATTTGTGAATTTTCAAAATCCATTTGTGAAGGTTTTCAAAGTTATACAGAAAAACACGTCTTTCAGGTGTCCTAATCGAAGGGGCGTAGCTCCCTTAGGAAGCATTTCCGGACCCATGTTAATAGGAACTTTTTGTCTTATTTTTATGCAAGGAATACGCCCCCGAAAGGATGCCGCTTACTTTTGAATCACTCTGTATACACAAGCCACTAGAAACCTAAAATTGCTAATTTTAACTTCAAGCCATAACGATTCAACTGAACCTGCTGTTTCGAATCGCTGACTTATGACTGCATGTACATTCTGGCCACCTATATCACGTTTGATAAATACACAAACACCGCCTCCGTCGGTTCCTCGATCTTTACGGAACAAGTAGTAATCTGGTATACCTATAAGGCTATCTGGTATTTGATTGGTTAGCTATGTTTCTGTAATCAATATTACATGGGCATTGGTGTTTTGGATGCTAGCTTTTAGTTCATCGAGCTTATTTACCATGAAACACAAATTGCTATACCAAAAGGAGACTTCAACAAGGGACACGTTTAGTTTTTTGAATTTTCTCTTTCCTCATTTTGAAAGAAAACTATTTTTGGAACATTGTTAATATATCTGACTCTTATATTCATTTCCCCCTTTTGCTTTCGTTCTTCCACATCACTGAGTATGGCCTTTAAGTATGTTCTTTAAAGGGGTGTGTTGTATGCCAATTAAAATATGTATACCACCTACATTAATCTTTTATGCTCTCTCTTATTATCTTATAACGGTTGTTGAAAAAATAATACATTTTTTTTTTAGATAATTTCGAGGATAATTTCAACATTCTGCATTTTCTTCTTCGAACCCTATTATACCTTGTTTCGTCAAAACACTTTTTATGTGAAAATTACCTCAGAAATCCACTCTCGAGTTGCCTTGATGTAGTTAAAAATTATAACCCAGCCCAGTATAAAAGAAAAATTACTCTAAATATTTAAATGGGCAGTCATAATAATACTGTCTAGTTTTATGCGCTAGTAGTTTGATGACTGAGTATATCGTGACTACCATAAAACGATGTAAAAGTAGTATTGGTGCTGTGACTCAGTGGAAACGTATCGTTGCTATTAATTGTTCCAAAAGCAGACAAAATTTCGTTCATTCGCTCTGGACTGTCCACTATTATGTGTTCGTGTAATTGACTTTCAGGATGAGGATGCCTGGAGCAAATATAGTAAATAAATGCATGTTTGAAATAACATAAGTCGATATCTTTACCTATTATTTAGTTCATTTTGAAACACATGATGATGATTCCTATCAGGATTCAAATTCAAAATATTTCCCATTGGCCTTGTTGACGTACGTTTAATCGAATAAATATATACTCCAGTCATAGATAAAGTGTAGGACAAAAAGTATAAGGCATGAAACTGAAAATTCCAAATAATGATTCTCCATATAAATTATTTGCTCAACTTACCTTATAATTAAATAACAGGATTCCGACAATGAGCGTATAAAAATTGCCAGACAATAATGACAAATGTAAAGCGGTTGTGCCCATATTCAATAAGAAGACACTGGAGAATGTGCAAAACATAAATTGGCATGCCGAGAATGATGATAATAACGCGCTGGAGTTTTTCCAAGTGGAAGAAACTAGAGTTTGTTTTTCTAATAGGAGCCTTAAAGAGAATAATGTTATTGAAATGAGTGAATTATGGTGGGATGTTACAATTTTTCAAGGGAGGCTAAAAATATATTTAATTTCTTCTGAATTTTTGCTACAATACGAATGTGCTCAAACTAAATCATTGATATAGTTGATTTGATACTATAAATCCTTAAGTGTACTGCTTTTATTTACAATTTTCGTTAGTATTTAATAAGAGGTGTTTGATCTTCTGATAAATTTATGTTTAAGTTAAAAAAACATATTTTTCTGTGAATTGTGAGCGATAGAGATCTTTGATTGAAAAAACAATGTCAAATGTAATCGCAATTTTCTCTATTGCCGCTAAAATTCCCAAATAGATCTGCGTTCGGAAGATATAATGACTGATTCTGTTCTGTGAAATTTTTGAAATTAGGAAGCTTGAGGTAAATCGGTAAATTATTCAGAAACTAGAAGTAGATACAGATAATTAAAAAACTATGAATATTGAATCAGAATTCACTACTTTTATCTTGAAATTGTTACTATTAAGATAATTGATGCCATACTTAACTAGACAGTAAGTATATGTAGGTATCTATATATCTACAGGGAAGGAAAGGATACCCCTCAATTGCCTCCCCTAATGAATGACCACAAACATGCATTTCTTACATTTGCAATCCACTAACTATGCTGCCAAATAATCCCAATAATCCCAAATATTCAACAATATCAGTGTTTTTTATCGACAATTCTTGTAGAACGGTCACTATAGCGAAAAGAACAGCTCCTCCAAGACACAACATGTCCCCAACAAGCTGGTTTTTACCTGAGGAAAATATAACTTACATACATACCTATATTTTCACAAAGCTATGATAAAAAACTCACCATCAATTTTGGTATCTTCAATATTTGCCCAAACTAAACATCCGACCCCAATAAGACATACAGAAACTGCTAAAATATGAACCATCCGATATCTCACACCCAATACGAGACAACTTAGAGCTAATGCTACAGGAATCGCTACACATCCCAATAGCTACAAACATACTTCTTTTAATTTGAAAAACTTTTTTTTATTGTGTTGCGCTGTACCTGTATACTTGTAAGAGTAGTAAATTGATGTGCAGTGCTCATCAAAGTATTCGCTTCTACATCTATAATGCATAATAGCAGGTATCGCCATCCTCTGGCTCTAATAATAGAAATAAGGCCTTTGTCGCCTCGTCTAAAAGCTAACCAACTAGTGTATATTGCACATAAAAACATGTAATGTGGGAACGACTGTCCCGTAGGTAGCACATCGCTTGATCCCGAATTCAAATAATGAGCTAATGTGTTTATTGCGCAAAGTATTATCGATAGGAATTGGCCTAGAATGATGTTTTGCCACACTTTCCTAAAACATAAATTTTATTTAATTCAGTGATAAACATCTTAATATCTTTACCATTTTCCCAATTCCGAAAGGTTATTTCCTACTTGATCACAAAACCCAAAATTGGGCGTATTATTATCAACCATATTTTGGAAGTATTCATTCAAATACTTTTGTTTACTTTTATCACCCTTACCAAGGGCCAAGGGCGGGGCACCCTTCTGCCCAGACTCGGAGGGTGAATTGTGGCAAGTTCATAAAAAATTTGAAATAATTGCGCGCAAGCGGAATAGCGGGGATAAAATTTTGATGTCAAGTGTGTCCCAGCTTTTGTATACTAGCAAAAGAGTAAAGAATTATTTTTTTTTAGATGGAAAAAAGATTAAATTACCCGCCCAAAAGATGGTAGAATTAGAATAGTTTTTTTATTGGGGAAACATTTCAAAATTAACTTATTTCTTGGAAAAAAAAAATCTCCATTGAGTCCATAGCGGCATTATACTCTCAAAAAAATCAGAAAATACCGTGCTACCACGGCTGAACACTCAACTCCTTATAATAACATTTAAAAAACTTGCTATTTATGCATCAAATTACCCAAACCAAATTTATATTTGATAATAGTTTTCAAAGGGCTTTCTGCCTGCCATGAGATAATTTTCCATTGAGCTACCTGCGCTGTTTATGCAACAAAAATTAATCAAACATTATGCATTAGAGCTCCAAAAATCTTAGACAAATTTCTCAGGAAATAATAGTTACTTATATTGTGTATTTAGGTGGAAAAGTGACACATTCTCGGCCGAGGGTGTAAGTTGACGGGCGAGGCGTAGCCGAGCCGGCAAACACCGAAGGCCGCGAATGTGCTTTTCCACCCAAATACACATACCTACTATTTTTTCTGAGATCGGTTGAATTCTGTTAAACGTTTGTATTTTTGTTCCAATTGTGCAGCAGTACGAGAATCACTTTCCCGGCCTAGGCCTAGGCCGGAAAAGTGATTCTCGTATATTGTTATTCATTGATTCCTTAGCAACTATTGAAACATAATAGGCCTGTTCGTAGAGGAATCACAAACCAGTCAGAGTGAATTTCATTGGTTGAAACTAGTTTTCTGAATGTTTCTGACTGTTCTCAACCAATGAAATTCGCTCTGACTGGTTTGTGATTTCTCTACGAACAGACCTAATTAAAATACCAGAATATTGGGTTTTGCGACCTGTCAACTGGTCAAAAATGCTGACATTTCTTGTCAATCTCAGAAAAAAAAGTTTTTAATTTTTATTATGTACAGGGTGTACAAAATTCGATGGTTTTGGGGGGTTTCGGGTATTTCTAAAGGAGTTGAAAAAAATCTGACTCCCATACTTGCGAGCCTCGATTACATTATGTGTACGTATAGGGTAATTTTTTATATTTTCTCACCCCCCTTAACTTTTTTGTACCACTGTGTATAAAAAAAAATTAAATAGGAAAGTTGTAGTGCTTGAAAAATAGTTCTCAGAAAACATAGTTTTTTCATACAGGGTGTTGCAAAATATTTAAAAAACATTTATTTTTTTAAAAATGGGACACCCTGTATATTATGACATTTCTGGATTCTGCGAAAAATTCTAGACATATTTCATGTATGTCATATAGGTACCTATCTTGAACTGGGGGAGGATTCTCATCCTCATGTCGCAACCTATCGTCCCGACTCCTCAGCCGTAAGCCACCTGTTTCGGAAATAATCACAGTAGAAAATTGACTTTTTTGCAACTTTTAGAGGCTGTAAAACCTAAACTGTTAATCTTACAGCAAAACCGATTTCACATTCTTGTCTACAGCTTTTCATAAGCTAGCATTTGACACCAACTTTGAATTAAACCGGAGATTAAATTTACGCGTTCCTCAGGGCTCATCGGTACTGGGCCCTTTGTTGTTTTTAATATACATTTAACGATCTTTCGAAGATGAACGACGTGTCAGGTCAGAGGTCAGTTCACGATGTTTGCTGACGATACGACGATTCTGGCATGACAGGGATGCAGGGAATTTGGAAAACAGGATGAATATTGACATTTTGCGTATCAGTGAGTGGTTCAATGCAAATTTTGTAACCCTCAATATCTCGAAATTAAATATTGTTTCTTTCAAGTGCCACCTTAAGTTTTTTTTTGTTTAAAGATAAAAGTCAAAATGACATTATGTTGGCAATACAATGTAAAATTGTCAATCCTTTAAATTTTTTACGGTAGTGAAGGTTTGTGTTGCCAACATAGGCCGTGTTCGTTTTTGTCATCTTTTTCGTCGGTTTGCTCCGAAATTTTGACAGACACGTGAATGGATCAGACAGTTTCAATTTACAAATCACGTGACTGTCAAAGTTTCGGAGCAATTCGACGAAAAAGATGACAAAAACGAACACGGCTATGTAACTAAATTTTTGACTTGGGGAATTATCTTTTAAAAAAAAACAGACTTTAGGTAATGTTTCTTTGAATTCAAAGGTAGTTCAGGGCTTACAGGTTAATCAATTTTTGGGCCTACATATTGATGAAAAACTGAAATTCGAATGCCATGTTTCAGTTAATTATAAAACTTTTAAGAGGGTGCTTTTCATTGAGAATGGTGTCTAGTGACCGTTCCGATTTCAACAGCGTAGGTACTCTTGTGGTCATTCAGTACTGAATCGACTGAATCCAGTGCAGGTAGGTACTGAAAATAAAATCGGAACGGCGTCCAGTAAATTCAGTACCTACCGACAGTTGATATCGGAACTAAGGCAAAGAGCCTATGAACGGGCTGCCGCAGACGTCCCGATTTGGGCAGGTCTAGTGTCGGACTTGTTATGTCCTCGTCAGTGCAATATAAGCGCCAATAAGCGGAAGCACACCAACTCAGAGAAACAAGAAACAGGTTTGCCGAAGATTAATTCAAACACTAGGTAAGATGTAGATATTTTAGGGCCGGTTTCTCAATAGCGAGTCACCTCCGAGTTAATTTCAATTCTAGGGTAAGCGTGTCCAGTTGCTATGTTCACAATGGCGTTATCTCTAACCCGGGGGTAACCTCTGCTATTGAGAAGCCGGCCCTAATAGCGTTTAGCTCCCTCGTAGAAGTCAAACAAGCAAAAACCGAGAACAGCCCGTTTGGGTGTAAAATCAGATTTTTGAAAATAAATTTTCGAAAAATCGGAAAATACTTGGCAGTGGTGGCAGTATATCGAATCCAAGTTAGGATTTTTTGGAAAACACAAGTGTTTCGCCAAAGCTCCAACACACTGCAAAGCTGACACGGCCAGTGTGTTGTCAGCCAGCGCCTCTGTTCCTTCCAAATCGGGGTCGACACCGGAGCGAGTAGCTCTAATGTTATAAACTTGTGAAAGGAATACAACTATTGGGATTACCTAAGGGCGGTTTCTCAATAGCGAGTCACCCCCACTAGAGAAATAGTGAATTGCCTACTTTCAAACAGGTTAAGTTGTCTGCAAAGGTTGTCTGGTAATGGTAATCGATGACGTCATCTGGGGTGCCTAATGGAGATTTGTATCATGTCTAGGCACCGCACATAACGTCATAAAAGTTATCAGGCAAGCTACCTCTTTCAAACAAACAACCTTGGGATTTGACAACAAAAAGTTCCAAGAAGGGCGATGAGTGAGGACGGAGGACGGTGAGGATATTTTCCACATTTTGAAGAACGTTGGCGGGGGGAGGGGAGGATATTGTTCTATAAACAGTATAGACTATCTAGACTAGACGTACCATCAGTGAGGTTCTCCTCCAAAGTATCTAGTTATGTGGATCTACAGCATACAGCTATCATCAGGCCTATGCTTACCTAGGGAGCTATTGTCTGGGTTTATAAAGTCGAGCAGACTACTATATATTAGCCGAAAACTAGACCACGTTCAAAGAATGACATGCATCAACCTACATAACTGCTGCAATGAAAACCACACCAAACAAATAGGGCTTTGAAAGGAATTCTATGTTTGAGGCATTGAGACATTTATGTAGACGAGGTTGCTCTGGCTCTCACACCCTTTTCAAGAAGCGCTGGGACGATACGATTGTCTGCCACTTATCCAAGGAACTGCTAAGTTTCGAGATAAAGCTGCAGCGAGCCAAAAGCTGTCGTTGACCAGGAAAAGGCTACGCCTAAACGGGCATCTTGACTGGCTAATGTCAGTTAAACAAACGTTTGTTTAGGTTGCATCTCAGTACCACACCCTTAATCAAGAAGAAGAGACGTTGGAGTACATTCTTTGTGACTGAACTGCTCATTCGCCAATACACAGAGTCATATTACGCCAATCGTACCCATCAAATCAAATCAAAATATGCGGTATTGTAAAAAGAGCAAAATATCTTGTCTACAAAGCAGAAAAATACAATAAACACAATAATAAAATGTCCAAATTTAAATTTACAAACAACCGTAAGAATAATAACAGTACAATAATAAAATAATAAATAAAATATTAAAATGTCAAAAATTAAAATAACAAACAGCCGTAAGAATAGATACAATTATTATAACTAAAAACAAAAATTAATTTGCTAGGCTGATGAGCTAAGGCGGACCTCTCCTCTTCTGGAGGCCCACAATGGGCCTAAGTGCTGTGACATACCCCATTCCCAAACTGTATTTTGGTCAGCAAATTATTTTCTCTCCCTCAAATAAGACAATAATACACTCAACAAAAAATATGATACAATTTATTTTAAAATACTTTCAAAAATTTGTAACAAAATGTTAGTGTCAAAATAGAAATAAACTATAATTCTAACTTAGAACTATGAATCATATGCAAAGATTTTGTGGCAACATTAGTGTGAGTTAGTAGTAAAATTGTTACGTTATCACAGGAGATTCAACATGTTTGCTGCGAGTGAGGGCTTGGAGCATGTTTACTGCTATCAAAAATAGATGGGGTGAAAGATCCAGAAAGAGTCGATCCAGATGGAGCCGCCTAGGATCATGATGTGCCACATACCAGATCCAAAAGATGTGGCAAATAAAAATGATCCATACGTAGCAAAACTCAACCCTTTTTGATTCTTTGTTCCTATTTTTTATCAGTTTATATTAATTTTTTTTGAAATAATAAACCAAATGAATAAAAAAATGAGTGTGTCTCAACTTCCTTGATGTGTCGATCCTATTTATAAAACCACGCTCCAACCAAAGCCACGATCTACAAAAGATTAAACATTAAACCATAAAAAACATAAAATATAGGTAAGCAGTTAATCTAACCTAAGCACTTTTTTTGAGTTTCTCATCAGCTGTAGGATCCTGTGGTTTGGCAACCTCAGCCTTGCTGGCTTCATCAAAGTTCTCAACTAAATCGGGGACATCTTCGTCATCTTCTGGCACCATTTTGTTGGCTCCTGTATCAGTAACCGAGCTTGCTAAACGTGAAAGCTGAGAAATACCTTCAGGGCCTAGCCCTAACTGATTCAAAATTGAAGGAATCATTTCAGTGATTTGTTTGGTCTCGCCGTGCCCAGTGATGGCAAAAGTATTAGCCCCCAACGAGGCCTGAGTTTTGGGATTATTGAAGTGAATGACAGAGCCATCATCCTTTATCATATTGACCTCCTCAATGCCTGGAATGGTATTAACAGATAGTTTTTTCAATACTGATTGCAACTTCTTGTCGTCTGTAGCCTGGGTGGAATGGACAACCTTCTTCTTCCTCCTTGGGGTTCCTTTGCCGCCAATCCTCACTTGCGATTGCAATTTCTTCAATTTTTCACTGTTCATTCTGAATCCTTGGGCTTCCAATGCCGCTGAAACGTACGCGAAACCTGTTGCGACGAAATAATTACTTGCTTGAAATTCCATGAAGTGTTTTCATTCGGGCTTGATGGCCGTCGTCCGCGTAAGTTGGAATTTCTTCCTTACGACGGCCATTAAGCCCGAATAAAAACACTTCATCGATAAACCTGGGTCGCGAAAGCCTCACAAACTCTATCTGCCTTGAAATTATTACTGTTTCAATACCCAATACCACCAATGGTTTTTGCTGAAAGCACAAAGCTAATAAGCAGCAAACCACAAACCACACGTGTTAAATGCCGGGTGACGTTTGATTTTTTCAATTTTTCACTCATACAAAAAAAACAAGCAAGCTAGGGGGCGCGTTCACAGTGGTTTACCCTGGGTAAAACTTAACCAGGTTAAATATTTCACTGGTTGAAAAGGATGCGCTTGGGATGACAAATCCGTCAACGACTAACGCCTGCGCCATAACGAGGTAGGATTTGATTTTGTTTTCCTTTTGTTTACATACGTTGTGTTTCGCATATTTCGAGATGGATCCGGGAATAATATTTTCTAAAAGTACTATTGAAGCTTTTTCGGATTCGTCTGATACAGAGGAAGAAGTCAGCTATGCTGTAGCACAAGCTGCATGTGCTAGCGCTAGCAGTTTAAGTTCAAGCCTGAAAAAAGGCATATTGAAAGACAGGATAATTTTATGGCAACAATACGCAATTATAGCGATGAGTTTCAGGAAAATTTTGGAGTTTCCAGAGAAGCTTTCAACTGGCTTCCTGGAAAACTTGAAAACCAGTTAAAGTCAGCAATGTACGGTCCAGAAAGATTACCAACCAGTATTGTTTATCAAATTTCAAATATTCTTGTAAAACGCCTGCGCGACAAATTTTACCCATGTCTCAGAGTGGGTTAAAAAGTTGTACAACCGGGGAAACTTATCATGGCTCTGTGAACGGAGCAAATATTTTAACCGGGTGAATTGGTAGATCCGTGAACGACTTAACCCTGCAAAAGACGCGCTCGGTGAGCGTCCGGCGTTCGACTGTGAACGCACTCAGGGGGTGACTCTGCTCGACAACTGACTGATGAGTTTTGTGAGGATGAGTGAATGAGTCAGTGTTGCCAAATGACCAAAGTCAAATTATGGTACAATGCTGCAAGGATGATACACAACTACCACAGCCTGAATCGCAAGCACTCCATCGAGGTCTGCGGGTGACGTCATCCCTATAAGCTGCTGATAGTGATGTCACTCTCAGACTCATAATTTGATGGAGGGGGAGTTAGGGGAGTATCTGTGGGGAGTATGATACAATTGACACATCACATAACCCATCATCAGATTATGATTGATTATCCTCGCGAATAGGGAATTTTCATATTTCTCAATTTTTTTTTTTTAGATACTTCTAGCGATCAGATATTATATGGTTTAATTTTTTTCCCTTTTAATTTATACGTTGTACGAAAAAAAATTTATTGAAATTCAAATCAAAAACTTTGGCGCGAAAACGCGAGGTTTCAATATGACAGCACTTGTGACATCAATATTTCGTAAACAACAAACGCAGCAAATGAACTCCTGCTGACGCAGTACTATTTTTGTGTTATCAAAAAGTGGAAAAGCTTTCTTTTTGTGAAAATTGTCGCGATGGATGAAGAATATTGTATAGGACTACTTTTGGAATTTGATTTCACTTGCAAGTTCCCTTTTGACAAGCTTGTTTACAGAATCGTGACGTCAAAAAAAGGGGCCATCATGGAAGCATTGTTTTGGCGGGAATTTTTTTATTTCAAATTTAGTATTATTTTTTATGTAACAAGAGCGGCATTAGTTAAATGAAAACTGGTCATATGGATATTGTACAGTATAAACTATCGATTTAAATCAAATTTGGAAAATTTTATTTCCCTTGCAAGTTCCCTATTGCCTATCATCTTAATCCAGTTAAGACACTCCAACTACCCGAGTAAGATTTACCTTAACCCGGGCTGTCGAATCGTGAATGCGACCCCAGGTGCAACAAGCACTTTTCGAAAGAAATAGCGTAAAGCCCCGAAGCTCCTTCTAGGTGTGAAAGGATTACAAATGTTGATATCCTGAACCGCGTCTCGCGTACTCGCGTCTTGTATGTAAGAGCTGCTTTCGGGTGCCACTCTTTGAGCGCTCCCGAGTTACTCCGAAGTACTCCGGCTACAGTTTGACCCGTTCGGTTTGAAGCGTTCGAGTGCAAAACGCATGGAGTATGGACACGTCACCGGCAGGTGTGAAGTGTTCTAGGAGCACCCGAAAGCGGCTAGGAAGCGTTTTTGCATCTACCTACAAACCAAACCAGTGTTGCCAGATGTCAAATTTAAATTTATCAGGATTTGAGAACAAAATTATCAGATTCCAAGAAAAATTATCAGAAAAAGTTTCTGTCAACTTTTTTGACTTTTTATCTCTATTTTTATTTTTCTGGTTCTAGCTGGGACTCTGGGACTAGTGTTTTGGTGCTCGCACCAGTACATCCACCTTCAATTTTTTGAATTAATTTTTAATTTTTATCTAAAATTTTCAAATTTTAGTTTTAATAAATTATGGTAGATTAGCTCGTCATTATTGATTATGGAATCCTAGTCAAAATTATGGTAGAATTCGATAATTATCGGGTCATTGGCAACACTGAACCAAACGGAACAAGGAGGGATTAAAAAAAAATCTGTCATTGTCAGTGTTGGCAGATGGATTTTTTCGCCTACAGTAGATTGAGATAAAAACAAACAGTAGATTTGCTTGCTGTAAACAGTAGATTTGCTTGCTGTAAACAGTAGATTTTTAGTTAATGAATTTTTTGCGTAATATTTTAAATATAAAACAAAAATAGCTAATTTATGAATATGAAAATATATTACAATCAAAAAATTAAACAATTTCCAAAGAGATCTGTGACGTCATCGCCCAGACGGGGAGCGCTCTGAGAGCAGTGAAGCCGAAAATGCCATGAGTTCTGAGTTGAAGTGGAGTCAGAGCAGTTTTTTGTCACATTCATGACCTTGGAGTTGAGAGCAATTTCTAGGACTGGAGCTAGAGCAAGGATGATATATAGTCGTATTCACGATGGAGTTTGAATTTTGACCGTTATTTTCACCAGTTGAAAATAAATAAAATCCCCAGATCTGTCCCTTTTTCTGACAACTATCAAATAATGATACATGACATTTTGATTTGACACATAAAAATATCAGATTCGGGTCTTTGAATTTTGAATTTCGAATTTTTGTGTGAAATCGTTCAGTTTTTTGCCGTTTTCTGCATTATTTTTTTATTTGTTATTATCGCAATAGGTTTTTTGGTTTTTTCTGTAGTGTTCTGTGCCTTTGTGTTTCGGTTTTGCGTTTCAAACCTGGTTTTAGTTTGGATTTAAGTGTTTACTCTTTTTATAAGTGTTTACTTTGGACTCTAATTTTAGGATCTTTGGATTTTAATAACTTAACTTCCTTTAAAGAAATTGAAAATAAATTTTTATTCTCTAATGTATATCACTTTTCTAAATACGACCCTGTCGTTTATCCCAGCTGACGGAATCGAAGCGCTAACGCATGCTGACAACCACAGCCTCGACAACCTGACGAAAAAATTTACCAAAAATGTCAACGCGAACTGTCAACTTCACTTTCTATCGTGATTTAGGGCGAGAACCCACGGGCGTCGCGTAATTGACGTAAGCGTAACATGAGCGTAACTAATCATGTGATTTAATTTGTACGATTTCATTGGCGGCAATGCAGCCATCTTGAATTTTTGGCATTACGCTGCCGCTACGGCAAAAAGTTGGGTTTTGTTGAACTTTTCGGCCTAATCGTGGCAAAGTTGTGACGTAATATATGGGGTGAGTTCAGCTTGGCAGAACGGAGTTGGAGCGGATAAAGAGCAGTTTCATAGTAACCTGAACACAGAGCGAAAAGAGTAAAATGGTTAGTCGAACGCATTAGGAGCAAGGCGAGCCGCGACCAATGAAGAAATGCCGAGGCTCCCGAATGCTTATCCCCATCACAAAACGGAACATGTTTTTCTGCGGATATTTTGGGGAGCGATGCCATTTTTTCTACCAGGATCCCCAGGGGGCAACCAAGCCCTAAGCAAAAAAAAAATCTTTTTTGAATTCTTTAGGTTAGGATCGTTAGGATAGTGAATTATTGAAAACCTAAATTTTACCGCCTTTTGGGAATATAGGAAGTGCGCATGCTCGCTTCTCGAGCTTCATCTCGCGAGGTGGAGCTTATGGATATGGAGTTAATTATTCTCACTCTACTTGGCTGTACAAAAACGATGTAGAGCTTCCACTATTTGCTCCCAGTGGCCTGACCCGAACGATTTTGCAGTGAAATGTGTCAAAGGAGTCAAAAGAGTTGCCAAGCCGAACTCACCTACTCACCTATGATAGAAAAATCACAGAAAATTAAAGGAAAAGGACTACAATAACAAATAAGTAAATTTTCATTACAACCTGGCAAAAAATAAACTAGATATTTGTGTTAGAAAATGTTTTTGTTGTGGTTTTGATGCACTACATGCGGGATGTTAAGCCAAAATTCGCGTAGAATTGACGTTCACGCCGATTGCGCTAACTACGCCCGTGGGGATTCGCCCTTAGTCTATACCAATGAACTATAGCTAAAAACTGGAATGCGCACACATTGCCATATCTGCCAAAAAAATGAAGCCATGAAAGACAGATGCCACAAGGGGGAATGTTGTTTTTCTCTGTTGCTCGCTGACATATGACGTTTTCGAATGTTTTGTCATATTTCCCTTCACAGGTTTCATTTGGAATACGTGTTGGAAGCAATTTTCGCCATTTAACATAATGAGTGCGACGAAAACAGGTATCCCCTCCGCAGTAGCCGCACTAGGCTTCAAGTTCGTCCTTATGTGTTAGCATTCCAGTTTTTGGTTATAGTAGGGATGTTGATATCTAAAAAAAATATCGATATATATCATATCGATAATTAAAATTATTATTGTATCGAGCATTTGATATATCGTTGAAAAATATCGATATTTCGATATTTCGACAAAAACATTAAATACTCAATTAAGGGTCGGTTTTTCAATAGTGAGTCACTTTCGGATTGGTTTTAACTCCAAGGTAAGCGTATCCAGTTGCTATGTTAACCCTGGAGTTATGCTTAACCAGGAGGTGACTTGCTATTGGGAAACCGGCCCTAAGTAAAAGTATTATTGTCTGTACCTGTAGTCCTGTACCAGTTAAAGTGCGACAAGTGAGTGAACCTGTGTAGAAGGAATGCGGGCAGAACCCTCCTGATTGGCCCGAGATTAAATTTACATATACGCGAGTCGTCGCGTCAGGGTAACCGCAATTTTCGCAATGCACCACGTCGAGGACCCGTCGCGTCGTATAGTATAGGTTTTCGTCTTTCCCTCTGCTACTTCATGCGTTACCAAAGTTCACTCACTTGTCGCACTTTACACCGTAAAAGGGTTTTTTTTACAAGCAAGTTATGAATAAACAAAATATTATTAATTATTACGAAAACGAATATTTTCCATTTTCATTTGTTCTGAATGTCTAATGTCATTGCTTGTCTACAACTGTCACTAGGCCACTATAGAAAGTTTTTTTTAAATATTTCTATGATATCGCTCTACTTTTGCTCTGGATCGCTCGAGATGAAACCTCCTAATCGAAATTATTGCCTTGAAAAGTTCTTAGAGCGTAGAGCAGTGATTTTTTTTTGGATCGTGCTCGATAAATATATCGAGTGCCGATAGTCAACTTTTAATATCGATATACCGATATATCGAAACAAAAAATATCGGTCGATATTATCGATATATCGGAAGAAAAATATCATCCATTTGATATATCGATATTTTTTCAACATCCCTAGGTTATAGTTCATTGGTCTATACACTACACACTACTAAAGTCTGTTTTTTTTTTTTAAAGATAATTCCCCAAGTCAAAAATTTAGTAACTATGTTGGCAACACAAGCCTTTTCTACATAAAAAATTTGAAAGCATTGACAATTTTACATTAGGCGATTTTCAGCCTGGAATGATTATTATTTGGTTATAACCAATGCGTTTCCGCCGTCGCGGTTTTAACCAAAGTAGGGGAAGTTGTGATGTCACATATCAGCTGATTTGCTTTTGGTATTTACCACTTATAACCGATTATAACCCAGCTTTGGACTTGGGTTAATCTTTTGGTTACAGCTTTTTGATGTGATTGTTATTATTTTGGGAATTGGTATTGGTGTTTTGTGATTTTGCAGTTGTGTTGTGGCCTGGCACAATGGGAGAAGTATACACTCACTCACTCACTGCAACTCACCATGCTTAGATCGAGGTTTAGATCATCCCCAAAGAAAATCTGTTCGATGAACGAGACTAACGAGAGATTCCGCTCCATTTTTTGTACCTAAACAACAAACCATTGTTGAAACGAAAAAACAAATAGGAATAATAAACATAATCCTACACTGCTATAACCAAATCATTTCAGCGGTCAGTTCCTTGGGTTAAGATTCTTGAGTGGTGGGGGGCTGTGACTTCACACTTGGCTGTCAAAGTTGTCAACCAAAAGAATAACCACGGTATTTACCGATAAATAATCATTCCAGGCTGAAAATCGCCTATTGTATTGCCAACATATTAGCTGTATTCCTTTCAAGAGTTTCAAGCACTTGAGCTACTCGCTCCGGTGTTTAGTCGCCCCCGATTTGCAGGGAACAGATGCGTAGTGAAGCAAACACTTTTCGAAAGGAATAAGTGCGTGAAGCCCCGGAGCTGTTCCGGAGCTCATCCTAGGTGTGAAAGGAATACAACTATTGTCATTTTGACTTTTATCTTTAAAAAAAAACAGATTTTACTACAGGATAACCTATCCTCATAAGGCCTGTGTGGAACAAATCCTCCCTCTGTCGTAGGCAGCATGTTATTTCTCGTCGTTTCTAGCCTGTTTAAACAGCTGACGACTTAGTTCTGACGTCGGAAATGGTGATACACCAATATGGCGGCGACTACCAAAAACGAGGCCGATATGCAATCCTGCATCCAAGAGGAAGGAGTTAGAGCACGTTCGTCTTGCTAACCGCGTGTACTCGAAGTGCACGAATTAGGCAACCAAAATTAAAAATTATTGCTCAAAGTGAAAGACTCGTCCAAAATTAATTGAACAATTTTGTATTCTCCTAAAAACAGTAGTTTAGAAGTTAAAACAGGGGCGAGTTCAGAAATAACACACCGGGTTTGAGTGCGATTTTATGGGTGTGACTAAAATGACAATTCTAGGCGACAACTTTCGTATGAATTTCTGAATGCTTGGTGTGACCAATCGAGCATCTCCTCAAAAGTTTCACCAAATCTATCAGGATTACTTTTTTTTGTTGTTCATTTTTTTTAATTTGAAGGAAAAACTTTAATTCTTATTTGTGTTTTGTTTGAATTTGGTGGGATTATTGATATTATGAGAGGAATGGTTGACATTGTTGACATAAAGACACAATCACACCGCAACCACACCAAAAAATTATGGTGTGACCGGTGCGACACCTGAGCCGCTTTCCAGTATGCACATTGGCGCGCTCTGGCGCGCTCCAGAGCACCTCGGGGGTGCCACGCACTAGATTTGTACCGTTCCAGTATCATGGCGTGAGACGCCTGTCTTAGTGTCAAATATATCAAATTTTAAAAATAATTATCTGTTTGTTTGTGCAGTTTGTTTTTTTATTTATCAAAAATGAAAGAGAATCAAAACTATATATTTTAAAATGTTCAATCTTGAGATATAACAAGAAATAAATAGATAAATAGCCACCCACAGATGTGACAGCTGATAGGTTGACGCGTACGTACAGCTCGGGGGCTCAACGCCCCGAGTAGCTCCGGGCGTCACACTCCCATACTGGAAAGCGGCTCTGAAGCGCGCCCAAAGTACTTTCTGAACGGCACAGAGTGCGCGCACTTGGTGTGCCTACAGCATTTATGAACGGCTAGTGCGTCGCACCGGTGTCACACTCACACTGAGTGTGTCATTCCTGAACTCGTCCCTGTAGAAAACAGATCTTGCTAAAAATCTGGCAGCACTGGTCATTGTCACTTGTCAGGTGATAAGTGTTGCCATATGTTGTTGTTAATTGAATATTTTTTTTTTCAACAGCAAAACACATTAAAAATAATTAACTTTTTATTAATCAGAAGCAACGAATCCAGTGTTAATTATTTAGGTAATGTTATAAAATGGTAGAACCAATTTTCGACTATCAATTTCGATTAATATTAATTGGAGACAGCACGGTTGGAAAAAGTTCTTTGTTGAAGTACTTCACTGATGGAAAATTTGCTGAGGTAACAATTTTGTCGATTTTATGTGCCTAGCTCTATGTTATTTATAGAATTATTCATAATTAATTAATTTAGAAGTGTCTCGTCATTCCTTTTGCTTACTCCTAAAAACATACTTTTTCCTTTTAAAAATTTGGGAATCCAATCGATATTACCAAAAACCAGTCTAATCACAAATTTAACATAGCAATAGCCTCTAGCATGCATAAAAATTAAATATTAAATTGATGGGCTTTCAAAAATATGGTGTTTACTAATAAAAGTCTGTATTTGGATAAGATATGCATATTCAAAATATATGGTACCAAATGCTATGGCTACCCGAGATGCTACCTATTCTATTCAGCACCATATTTGTATGCATACTCAGAATCTATACTTTTTTTTCTTCTTCAAGTGGCTTATTCTCTACGAATGTTGGCAATCATCAGCACTATCTGTACTTTGTCAACTGCTTTTCTGAATAGACTTGTCATGGTTTTGCCATAAATAAATAAATAAATGATTGGTAGGTAAATGAAAATCGAACATTGTACCCAGGGCCCTTATTCTTGAAACAGGGGAGTAGCATTCCCAGGAGAACGAGTGTTCCATCTTTGTTACTTTTATTATCATTTGCATATCATTGAGAAAGACGGAAAACTCGTTCTCCTGGGAATGTTGCTCCCCTGTTTCAAGAATAAGGACCCTGGTATGTACCTAGTGCTAGCCTGCCTAAGATAGGAAAATAAAATTTTGATACAAATATAAAGGAACCATTAGAGTTGAGTTGCAATTGCAATAGATCCTCATACACATTATATACATAATATTGTCCAAAAAATTAAGCAGGAGTTTATAATTCATTAACCAATATATTCTTTGTCTCAACATTGAAACCCGTCATGCGCATAAGGTAAAGTTATTCACAAATGTTCTTTGCCATAGTCCAGTCATTTGTTACACTTAACTGAGTGAGACAAGAATTACTGAGGAGTTTCAAGATTCAGAATTATCAATAATCCTTCCAATAATCAATAGATAACTACAATACCGAGTACAATACTTTTCGCTGTGACAGTTCAACAAGACCGAGAATAAATAAATAAATATTTTATTAACGACAACGTCATTTAAAAGTGTTTACAATAATAATAAATATAATATATATATAAAAAAAACATTTAGTAAAACAATCAAGTAAAAAAAACAATAACAATCTAATCAAGGAACATTACACTTGTTAATAGGATTATCTTTAGACCACTATATCACAGGTTTTTAGGTACAACTCACAGAGTGTAATATACATAATATAATCAGACTTATACAAGAGAGAAAAAAAGAACATAATACATACTACAATAATAGTTGCTGCAGTACTGGCATTAGGGATCTTAATTAAACATGTTTTATTTTTCTTTTAAAGGAATTTAGGCTTACATTAAAAAAATCGATATTCAGTCTTTCAATGATATTATTAGCCAACCCACAGAATCTTGAGATGGGAGAATTTAAGCCATAATTAGTTCGATGATGTTTGATATAAAATAGCCTATTTGTTCTAACATTACAATTTCTAGGTACATGAAAACCAATCAGTGACAAAAGATCTGGTGACTGTATGATATTATTTATAATTTTGTATAGGATACATAAGTCTTGCTGGTCTCTTCTTTGCTGTAAAGTTTGCATGTTTAAAAGGGATAAAATGTCATCATAATCAATAGAGTCATAATTGATATTCAATCTAAATGCAATTTGTCTCAGAAATTTTCTTTGAACTCGCTCTGATGCATACTTTTGATTTTCATAAAAAGGAGACCAAACTGGACTGGAGTATTCTAGTACTTGCCTAACAATTGCAGAATATGCATTCCTCAAAGTAAAAATATTATTGAAATCTTTCAAATTGCGAAAAACAAATCCCAGTAGCCTCATTGCTTTATTAGAAATCCTATCTATATGCTCATGAAAGTTTAATTCCACATCCAAATAAACCCCCAGGTCTCTAATAACATAAACTCTCTCCAGTTCAACATTGTTGATAGAATAATTGAAAATGAAAGGATTCCTTAGAAGCCCAAAGGACATTACTTTACACTTATCGATATTAAGAGAAAGATTATTCAATTCGCACCACTCAAAAAACCCATTTAGCTCGTTTTGCAGCGTAACACAATCCTGCAAACTTCCAACTACAATAAAAATTTTCTTGTCATCTGCAAAGTTTAAAAATTTACAATTTACAAAGTTTTGCTTGACATCATTTAAAAATAAGTTGAACAAGAGAGGAGACAAATGTCCGCCCTGAGGTACTCCCGACGTAACCTCAATAAAACAAGAAACACTGGTGTAGTCATAATCTTTTACAAACGAAATGCTATTGAATTTAAAGTTAGAGTCATTTGTGCATAATATGAATTTTTGCATTCAGTGTGTTTTGTGAACAAGTCCAAGTGAGTTTAAAGAACTGGCTCATTGGCAGGCATTACCAGTCCCCAAATGCAAGTCATACCCAGTTTTTGGAAAGTTAATAATTATTTCAGTGCAAAAAAATGTATTTTGGCTAGTGATAATAATTAATGTTTAAGCATTAAAATGATCTGTTGAGGATGAACTGAAATGCTATACCTTATGCTATACCTACTTTTTATCCGTTATGGATGTTGTTATAACTGATGATGTGGGAATTGATGTGCGCAAGGGCTATTTGGGAGGAGTAAGGTAATTCTCTTCAAAAGTAGGGTTTCAGACAAAAATTATGTGTATGGGACATGGGTGTACTTTGGTTTATCTGGCCTCAGAAATATCTCTAACCCAAGATGGGTTTCTACCTACCATCCAAGTCAACAAACTGTAAAAGAGGAAGCAGACATTACTATCACTCCAGTATTTATCACCGCCATTTCAAAAGTACCTTTATGTCTCCAACCTGAACAAAGGTTGAGCCAACCAGGAGCATGTCTCATTGGTACCATTGCCGCCATTTTATACCATATGTTTAATGATTGGCAAGAAGGGGAAGCCTTATCAATGAGAAGGGGAGGAGATATGGAATATTGGTCAGGGGTAGAGCAGAAGTCTGAAGCCCAGTATTGTCTACTGTTATTATCAGTTCAAAATTGATAGCTACTTGATTTCCTTGAGGCTATATGAATGCACGTTCTCACCTAATAAATCTAACAAGAAATCTTATAACGTCTTATGTCAGATAGCGAACAGTATATTAATTTTTCTCCATTTTATTCAAATCTTTGGCTTTACCTTATTTATTGACTCATTCAGCTTCCCATCATAAAACTAATAAAATCCTTTGTATTATCTAGGTATCAGATCCAACTGTTGGAGTGGACTTCTTCGCTAGACTGATTGAAGTCAAAGATGGCACCAGAATAAAATTGCAACTGTGGGACACTGCCGGCCAGGAACGGTTCCGTTCAATCACCAAATCTTACTATCGCAATTCCGTTGGGGCTTTATTGGTTTATGACATTTGCAATATGTAAGAATTATTCAATTTTTCAAAAGGAAATATGTGTATGAACTGAATCTTCTAGGTCTAGTTTTGAACACATACCACAATGGATGAGTGAAGCAAGACGCCATATTGAACCTCACCGGCCTGTATTTGCTTTGGTTGGCTGCAAGGCTGATTTAGTTGGTAATGGAGGACAAAGAGAGGTATGCACCTTTAAAAATAAAACATTAAACGGGATCATGTATTATTATCTATAGTCCGTTGCATGGTTCTTGAGCTACGGCTACTGAATAGACAGAGGAGACAATGGGCTAATGCTGCGTTGTCATATCGATAATATTTATTAATACATGAAAATTGCAATAAAATTTCCTTTATTTTCATGTAATAATAAATATTATTGATATGACAACGCAGCAATAGCCCATTGTTCCCTCTGTCTATTCAGTATGCAACGGACTATATTCACAATCCGATGTCCAAAGGTAAAGGTAAAATTTATCACCTTGCAATGCTATATGATAGGGAAGGATAATAAATTTACCTTTACCTTTGGACTACGGATTGTGAATAGGATATAAATAAAATCTGAAAAATTTTGATCCTCAATAATCTTCGATAAAATTATCTGGTATCTTTATTTAAGGTCTCTAGAGAAGAAGCTAAAACCTTTGCAGACAGCCATGGATTGTTTTATGTTGAAACATCGGCAAAAAGTGGCTTGAATGTCGAAGAAGCTTTTAGAGCTGTGACACAAGAAGTCTATAATCGGATACAGACTGGTGAATATAAGGTAAAGTATTAATTTAACTAAAAATGGAATTGAGCCCAATTGATCCCTTGTAAAATGTATATGAATTTTTTTTAATAGGTTGAAGATGGTTGGGATGGAATTAAGACTGGTTTTTCAAGACCTAACAGTTTAGACTACAATTTAGTGGAAGCCGAGCCAGCAAGAGCCACTTGTTGTTAGGGTTATTGTAGTGAAGGGGTTCGATAGCTATTAGGTTGTTCACTTTTATACCAAGTAACGTAAGAACAAATTGATTCTCTCTTTACAATATTAGAAAATCTAAAATATATTTTCATTGTCATTGTAGCTGTTGGGACTAGGAGTATCCATTTTCTGCAATCATTGATTTAAATTGTTACAATTTTTAATAGTTTTTGAGTGAGACATTTCTTCAATTTTTTGAATATAAACATAATATCCACCCCTAATGTAGTTAGTGCAATAACCTAAAAATAGGTACAGACTCCAAAGAGCAGTTATTTAATTATTTTTTAACATTTAACAATATTTTTTGTTTCATAACATCACTAAGTACTTTGAAGTTTAACTGAAACTAAAATTCATTATTTGACTGATTGGTTGTTTTTTATTTGTTAATTAGTTTTATTTCTTTTTTTCTGACAAGTTTCTGGTTGAATTATCATTGTTTTATTTTTTAGAGATTTAACTTATATTTAATGTAAACTGAAAATGCACTAGATTTTTTAAAACAATAATAATTGCTTCAATATTTTTGCCAAACTTTTTTAATCGAAATATATTTTTTTATTAGTCGAACAAACAAATCTGTCAAGTGTCTGGTGTACTTTTCTTGAACTAACACTAAATTTACTTCTTTTGAATGGTACCTTATTATAAAAGATTTATTTTTAGATCTATTAATCTTGTATTAATCTAGTCTTTGGAATGTTCAAGTAGATTATTGTTGTAAAAGGTATATTTAATAATTATTGTAAAATGAGTCTTGTATATATCCCAATTTTAATTATTTAGATGGATCTGATGTAGGGATTCTAAATGAGTTTTAAATGGAATAAAGTTTTTAAAATATGTATATCTTGTGTGTCTTTTTTAAGGTAAAGACTACTCACAAATTACAATTGATGCCTTGGACAAAGCTTCACAAAAACAGCCACTGAAATTATTTTTTCTCTTCCAATTTTTTCAAAATATCTTACAAGAGATTTGCCAATCCTAAGGAATGTACCTAATTATGGACAAATGCCTCCACCATAAATTTTCATCTGCTCTTTTGATTATCAGGTTGAATATTATGTATTTGCCATCAATGCCATCTAAGATCGCATAGCATAGACGTGATTCAAGATCTTTGAATTCATCAAAAACGAAAAGGTATAATATGTAAATAAAAAAAAAGGTCCGATTTTGTCAACAAAAACCATTCAATCCTAAGGCTCAATCCACTTCCAGGAATAGTGTCCATATACAGGGGCAAAAGCAATATGTTGTTTAGGAGGCTTTGGTAAATATGTGTACAAGTCTTTAGATGTTCTTCAAAGCATGTATTTAATTCGTTTTGTGTAAGCCGTTTGCTATTGAGTGACGTTATTTCTGGATCAGTTTCAACTATTGAAGGATTGGTCATTATCGCAACTATTACAAAGCAAGAGTAAAACTTCGCAATCTCTAAAAGGGTTTTACAGCAGGTCATACAGCATAATGAAGCGATCATGACCCCCAATACAACCCCACGACGACATGGCGCCCAACTCGATGGTACGAACACCCAAAATGAAAACCCTGAAGGATCTGCACCGCTACACTCCTACAGAGAGCATTACAGGATGTGGCTTTCATAACTTCTGAACTTTGGAAAGAGATTAGCTTCATAAGACAACCTCCTGTCCAGCTACCAGTGTTTTCAGGATTGCATTGGCAGAGTCCGACAAAAATTTGTCCTGGAATTAAGATCCTATTTTGAAAAGTATAAGGTTCCAAAGGAATGTCAAACTAGTCAAGTAAGGCATCATGGAGGGAGAAGCAAAATCATGGTTCTCTGCATATGAACTACATGATGTAGTTTTGATTCTTTCTGTAATAGACTTTTGGAAAGATTCGATAACGATTCTCTAAAGGCTTCTGTATATAGAAAATTATATGGCGTAAAGCAAACAAATGAGGATACAGAGGATAGTTCAATCTTTTCAACTTACAAACGTAACATGTTTTATCGTCTTGAACCAACGTTAAAAGAGAAAATAATGGTTATAAGAGTTTTAAAATTATTGAAAGCAGATTTACGCATTAATTTGAGAGGCAGAGATTTTTCAAACTTTGAAGAATTAATTCAATTCTCAGAGTATATTGTATGAAAACAATCTCAAAGATATAAATGAAACAGATGAGAAAAGGATAAAAAATACATCAAATTCAAGACCTCTTTCAGCTTCTGTGGTGAGTGGCATTATCATAAGGACTGTCCACAACCAAGACAAAGTTATTTGAATACAAAAAACTAGCTAAAGGTCGGCCACCAAAAAAGCCGAACATAAGCACTATTAAAAACTATAATTTAGACAAAAAATTACCACGTATTCAAATTACAGTAAATAACAAGCAAATTATAGCATTACTTTGATACGGGAGCAAGCGATTCATTCCTAAATAAGCGTTCCGCCCTAAGTAATAATTTAACGGACAATATAACAACTGTAAGATTAGCCAAAGAAGATGTTACTCTCAAAACATCAGGTTTCCAAATTGTGCCTATTTTACTGGATGGAAAAATATTTGACACAAAATTTCATGAAGTAGTGGACTCATTTTCAGAAGATGCTATTTTAGGACGGGATTGGTTACAAATGCATAATACAATTTTAGATTTTGTTCAAGGTTGTATTTACTTGGGAAAACAATTCAGGTTCATAGTATATTGGAATATTTATCCGGAAAAAAACAAAACCAAATCAACAAAATGTTACTTATTTCGATTTACCTACTCATTTAACAGGCAAGACAATAAGCATGTACAAAAACATATTATTATAGACAAAACACCATTTAAGATCACACGTTATCAATATTCCCCGAAGAAAAGAGAAATTATTCAAGATGAGGTAAGAAAAATGTTAGCTGCAGAAGTAATCAGAAGAAGTCGTTCTAGTTTTTGTTCCCCAGTTGTGATTGTGGAAAAAAAAATGGTTCACCTCGGTTTTGTGTTGATTGCCGTCAACTGAATGAAAAAATTGAGCCAATGGTATCGCAGTTACCGCATATAAGAGATACAATAAAAGATCTTAGTATTGCACAGGTATTTTCATCATTGGATTTAAAAAGTGGATACTGACAAGTGTCAATGGAACCAGAAAGTACTAAATTTACAGCTTTTGGAACTCCAGATGGTGCTATGTACGAATTTTTAGTCATGCCCTTTGGATTAAGGAACGCTCCATCTACATATCAAAAACTCCAAATTTTGGAAGGTTACATTGACAGATTTGTCAAAGTATATTTGGATGATATAATTATCTATTCAAATAATCACGAAGATCATTTGTTTCACCTTTGGTTAGTTTTGGAGAGACTTAGAATACACCAACTTCGATGCTCTTTAAAAAAATGCAATCTTGGAGTAAATGAATTAAATTATCTGGGTTAGAAAATCTCAAGTGCAAACAATTCTCCTCAAGAACATCACTTGCTTCGTATAATTTTTTTTTTAAAACCAACTACCATGAAAGAGTTGCAGTCATTCCTTGGTACGGCTAAATGGCTCAGAGAATACATTCCAAATTTTGCAACAATTACTGCACCACTTACTGAGCTTCCAGGCAAAAAAGTGTTTAGCTGGAACCCTAAAGCTGAAAATGCATTTATACAACTTAAGAATGCACTTGAGAAGCCGTTAGTATTATACAGGCCAATTTTTGAAAACCCATTTATACTACAAATAGATGCTAGTCAAGAGGGGAATAGGAGCAGTTTTGTTTCAATGGGGATCTGGAAATCAACGTCAAATAATATCATATGCCAGTTCAAAATTTAATAAACCAGAAAGAAAATACCATGTAAATGAATAAGAAACTCTTGCGGTAGTCTGGGTATGCAAAAAATTTAGATCATATTTAAAAGACAAATTATTTACACTTATTATTGATAGTAAAGCACTCACTTGGCTTAATAAATATAAAGATGAAAGAGCTAAATTAACTCGTTGGGCATTGCTTCTTCAGGAATTCAACTTTACACTGTGCGGGTTATACGACCATGAATTTGCTGACTTTCTATCAAGAAATCCAACCGAAGATGTCGACCATATGGCTAGACACGAGCATGATGAAAGGCTGTCACCTCCAACGGTGAACTTAATCACGTTGGAAAAAGGAATTTACGAGGCTACTGTTCAAGAACAAAAGGAGGATCCCACAATTTAACGTGACATTCAGTTGATGAAAAATATAGAATGCAAAAGGAACGAAAATTTAACAAAAAAATAATGTATTTTAAAATCACGACATATTGTTGAAGATGAAATTTTACTTTACATAAAGTCAGGCTCCAAATTAATTGTAACGCCAAGGTCTCCAAGGGATCTTTACGAAAGAGTTCTGTATGAATATCATGGTGCTTCTACTTCGTCTCATCCCGGAAGAGATGAAACATACAGAGCAATTTCAGAACATTATTACTGGACTGGCGTTTGGAAAGATGTTCGTGATTGTGTCCGATTGTGTTGTGTATCATTTGTGCTTCAACAAAAGCGAGTTCAAGTCAGCCTCATGCTCCGTTAAAACCGAAAGCACCCTCCAGACCATGGCAAAGTTTGAGTATGGATATAATGGGATCCTACCCAAAAACAAAGAAGGGTAAAAAATATCTTGTGGTAGTAACAGACCTATGCGCGAAATGGATTTACGCATGACCAGTATACGATGTGACAACTTCTGTTCTCAATGAATTTCTCAAAAATATTTTTGGAAGATGGGGTTTTTCAGAATCTATGATAACAGATTGCGGTCCGCAGTTTGGAAGCAACGAATGGCAACATTTTTTGAACAGTTTATTCATAGAACATTATACAACTCCGATTTATCATCAAAAATAAAATCCAGTAGAAGGGCGAAATCAGGAACTGAAAAAAGCTTTAAGGATTCAGTCTATGTCAGCAGGTTTTAAACAGTGGGATGAAGATATTGACAGTATTTTATTTTCGATAAACAACAGAAAAAACCGAGCTTCGGAATTTGCTCCCAGTGTACCTATTGCTATTTGGGCATAGGTAATGTTGTAAGGCCTGGAGAATGGAAGAATCCAAACATTAAAAAATTGGAAAATACGGCGGAAGAAACAGAAAATCTGCTTTTACAAGCAAAATAAAACCAAATAAAATTCAATACTAAAGTCTATATAAATTCTAGGTAGGAAATTTCCAGATTTTCGAGTAGGTCAGCAGATATTGATTCGTGAATTTCGCAAAACAAAGGAAAGATCTTTGGGGAAAACATGGGCAGGACCACATAAAATAACGAGGAAAAAAGATGAACGAACATATGTGTTAAGAGACGATCATTTTATGAAAGTTCATGTAGATGATATGAGACAATTTGAAGGTGTTCCGTTTCGAAGCAGCAACGAGTCCAGCCTAATTTTGGAGACCTAGAAGTGGAACTGAAAACTTTCGAAGATATAGGGCCTATTCGGGTTTGGAAAAAGTACGGTTCTAGAACGGTCCAAAAGAATCGCACAGTTTATTATTGAAATTTGTGATAGCCGAGTCGTTGTTATTTTGTTGATCAATAAACTGTACGATTGTTTTGAACCGTTCTAGAACCGTCCTTTTTCCAAACCCGAATAGGCCTATAGATTACCAGTAACAAGAGGAAGAGCTAAAAATACTGGGTCATGCTTTTTTTTTGTTGAGAGGGGGGATGTCGCAGAGCGATACCTACTTGCCTTTTATTAGTCACCTTTGCTACAGATCAATAACAGGTAATTAGTAATAATCTCTGACATCTCACCTCTTCGGTATCTTTATTGTTGTTGTCAAAAAGTTGCCAATAGATTTATCTCTGATAAATTTCAATCTATCAATTTAA